TCCAGTTATCAGACACAGCACTGGTTTGCATTTTGTGGCTTAGGTTATGCAGAATAATTGCTTCCTAGGCCTTGTTCACTTGAATGCTTTTCAAAATATTATCTTATAATTTACCATTAACTCGATTTTATCACTTAGTTTGGTCTCCACAATACCGTCTGGTTTTATTTTTCCCAAGGACATCCCTGCCTTTCCAGACCAGGGCAGTAATCTGGTCATCTGGGGGTGGGGAGCACAAACTCTGATATTGGACTATGGGTGTTAAAAACCTTTCTTTTCTTTTTGATGATTTGGAATTTAACTCCAGTCTACTTGCTTTTGTAAGGTTTTGGTGAACTAAGCATTTGTTGGTTTCTTTATCCCGTTCCCACATTCTCAGCTCAGCAAAAAACCTTTTTCAATAAAACCCACAAAGAATAACCCGCAGATAACCTTGTCTTTGGCATCATCCCCCAAGGGAAGTCTAATCACCAGTAAAAGTTTCATGGCTTAAAAAGGGCGGAAATGGTCTTAGTCACGTTTTCTTTAAATGGGTTTACGTTTCAGCTCATCTCATTCTCAGACTTCATCAGAGGGAGCAAATGACATTAAGAAACCAGATGAATAACATTCCTCGCTTGCTTTCGAGTAATAACCCCATTATTGCTAAACTGAGAGTTATTTGAGTAGTGATTTATCAAATTATTCAAGTTGTAATTCAACTACCTTATTACATTTGTATTTTTAACAGTAATGTGGGTTGGCAGGTTATATTGGCTGCTAAGAGGCATCTAGAGACACCATACGCATCTATTTTTAATGTCACTGAATGTTTTAAAGTTTATTCTTTTATTATTTACCTACGGAATTTCAGAATGTCTCTCAAAGTTTAAACTTAATACCAAAATTGTGAAACTTAAAACCAACTAGAAGGTGAAGTCTAATTTGACATGCTGTTAGATTTTTCTTCATTTGTTGTTTCCTCTCATTGTTTTCCTTTCCTTCTTTTCTTATGCTCTCTCACAAATGAAAGCTTTTTCATCTCCCTCAACTTCCTCCTGCCATTCCCAACTGTCTTCCTTTGTTGTGTTTGAGAGACATTTTCCAGATGTTAAGGTGACAGGTAAAAATCCATAGACCAAACACACATGTCTCAAATACTGAGCCTGATCCTGTCTTTCTACTAATAATTCCCTGAGGATAAAAGTGATCCAATTTACTTCTCTGTGTAAGAGCTTAACTAGGTGAACCATGATTGAATTTGGAGACTGAAGTGACTCTAGATATAATCTAATGTATAATATGTGGCACATGTTATATCTCAAAATGTAACTTTGAAGTAGGTATAATTTATCCATTTATTCTCTAATTCATTCATACAGCCAATATTGACGGACTAAAAATTACATGCTAGGTCTCTGTAAGGCCTAAGGATTTAATTAGAATTTAGCTTTGATTTCAGATTTAGGTTAGAAAATGTAATTTAGAATTTGATGGTTAGATGTCAGTGCAAAGTAGGTAAGAAACAACAAGAAATCATTGTAGCATGAAGTGATCCTGTTGAGAATGATGGTCTCTGCCTATCCCCTCAGCCACCCTCTACCTTGGAAATAGAGTGGGGAGGGTCTTGGAGCCTTCTAGAAATTTAGGACTTCAATATGACTTTCTAATACAGAGTCTTCCTCTTTGACAGCTAAGATGCTTTACAGGAATTATCTCCTTCATCCCCAACACATTCTTAAGACATAGATAGTGACAATATTTCAAATTGATCTCTTCTGGGGGGCAAAAATTGAGTTCAGAAATGTTATAGAAATTTTCTAAAGCCATAGCACCAGGTAATGACATAATGAATCAACTGGATTGTGGCCACCTCCTTCCTGGTCTACAGCTCTCCTCATCTGGCCATATTTCTAGCTTTGTTGGACCGTCATTCCTTCTTTCCTTGCTAGACATGTGCTTTGGTATTTTTGCCTGTGTATCATAGCAAAGGTCTCTGAGTCTGACCTTAATGCCACCGGACTCATGCTCCGCATGGCAGAAACCCAGGTCGAGGAAGACAGATAGAGGCCTCATCCTCAGCATGTGTGCTGTGGGCAACTGAGGGCTGGGGACTTTGAGTTGTGTTTCCAACTACTGCTGTCGCTTGAGCCTGATACTGCCGTGTTTCTCAGGGACACAGCCTTGTCCTCCTGTGACGTGCTGTCCTGTGTGTGTGTGTGTGTGTTGGGGGGCACTCGTTACTCTCTCCTTGGAAACTCACTGATTTAAATGCCTACCAACCTGACACCTAGTTGGGCCAAGTTCTGTTGTACAGAGCATGCACACTTTAGCCAAATCCACAGAAGCAATGGCTTTGTAAACTGTAGGGGAGCACAGAAGTCATTGACAAGCTAATAGAAGCTATGTACTTGGTCCAGAAAAATGCTCAGATGTGCAGATAATTTTAAAGTTTCACAAATGCCTGAAGCCTGGTATGATCATTTTGCTGGTTGTCAGCCATTCGGGATCAATTATTTACATAGTGTTGGAGTGCATGGGGAAAACAGGCAGATACATTTACATTCATTAGATATCGGCTTCTGAATATTGCTTGCCAAATTTGCTTTTTCCCTACCTTATGTTCTATGCACATGGGCCTCTAACAATAAAAGTTCCATGAAAAAAGGGGACCTGATTTCACTACATATTTAGTAATTAGCAACCAGGGGATATTTTCCTCAAATTTGCTCTGACTCATTAGCAATACAAATATTAACAAATGCACAAAGAGAAATTAACCTAATAATCACATAATTATGGAAGCCAGGCTCTTTACTGACTTCTAAAAAATTAAAGCAGATGTACATAAAGTATTGTCAAGTGTATAATCTAAACAGCAAATTTGCAAAACTCTACTTAGCGTTTAAGATCTAAACAGAGATGTCATAGACTAAAATGGTCTCCTTTTCACATTAATTATTTACTTAGAGAAGATACTGTTTTCCAAGATGAACTGATAGATTTGGATATGAAAGGCTTTCCCTCTCTTTAGAGGAAAGGCAGGGTGGTTTTAAATGGATGAGATGTAGGCGAAAGCTGTACCCTATTAGCCGAGTCTAGTGTTTTTATCCAGATCTACAATGAAAAGATTCTATAAACCCCACAATCAAAGCTGCTCCTACCAGTCCCTCCTCTTCTCCTCATTACATACAACAAAAAACAAACAAAATTTAAAAGTTATGCAGAATGATCAGTAAACTTACAGATGTGGTCTTGAAAGTTTTACAATACCATCACAATACAAAATTATAATACTGAGGTTTTCACTTAAAAATCACCACCACAGTGTAGTTAAAATGACTTCTAAGTATTCCCAAGGGGCCAATGGCATTTATACAGATGAAAAGGAGGTAAAAGTCATCCTCATGAAATACAGCGGTAGCGCAGTGCTGGCAAGCAATGAAATTCCATTTCTGCGTTCTCCACTTAAACCTTTTCTCGCATGTGGCCAGAGGAAGACAGTAAGTTACTGTGACTGTTCGGTGACTCAAGCGTGAACAATAGCCCTGACAGTGTAAGATTTTTCCTTCTGTAAAATCACAGTAAGTCTAAAAATGTCTTCTTTGTAGCTCAGAAAAATACACTAAGTTAATGAGGCCAGGGAACCCTGGCTAACTTGGGAAGTTTCATATGGATGACGACAAGAAGGAGAGTTTCAAGACAACTATGTCAATGATCCTGTGAGGATATATTAGGAAAAAGAAAAACAACTTGAAAGCAGGTAGCCGAGCAAATGCCAACATATGCCATTTGGTCTAAAGTCTGTGTTAAAGGCAAGAATATATACATTCTTCTGTGCAAAATAATCTCCAAAGGAAACTTATTTTTTCTTTTAAAATGGCCCTCTGTCTTTCGCATGCAATTTCACTTACACAATTCTGTTAAGGTAACACTCTCCGTCTGCCTGTGAGACTTGCTTTCAAGTTATTGTTGAGACAGCTACGTAGGGTAGGTGGCAAAGGGATTTTTGGATACAATTTGTCATGAGTTTTTCAGGTTATTGGAAAGCCTTCAAAACACAAATATCTAATCGCTTCCCTCAAGAAATGCATGAAAAAAAATCGCATGTCAAATGGAAAGAAGTTTCAGGTAAGCTCTGTTTTGTATCAGAGAAATGAAGGTTATCCACACTATGGGATAAGACAAAAAACAACTTTAAAATGTCATGGTTATTATTGTAGAAAACTGTCCAGGTCTTTCTGAGTCTTCACAGAGTATTGTATTTGTTTGGAGAGCTATTAGTTTTTAGAACATTAATTACATCCATATTCAAATGGAAGAATCAAACTACTTTCCAGGGTCAAATATTAATTGTCTTAGACCAAGAGTGGGGAAGCTTTTCCTGTTGGAGGGCTGCATTAATTTAGCTGTAATCAAATAAGGCTGCATTCAAGAAACTTCAATTAGATATACTTAAAAATGTACATTATTCTATAAAAATCTAACTACTATGTACTTAATAATTTCAAAAAATGAAAACTATTTGTTAATTTTAAAGTTAACCGACTTTGTTAATGACTTTGTTGTGTCCATGTTTTGTTGGAAAGCGTTTGAATATTTGGTTGCAACATGGAGGTCCACAGTTTCAGTTGATTGTCTAGACGGGTAGCACTCATTTGTGACCTTAGGGGCATCTTTATTTGGGTTAGCATAAGCAATGGAGCTTCTTTCTTGAGCTGACCCTTGACTGCCTTTAGTGTCAATTTTGACCCTTTCCGCAGGTGATAAAATGAGGCTCAGGCCTCATTTGAGGGTGGTTATATAGTCAGACTTTGCCTTTGTATGCTAGGGAGGTACACTTGTTGAACAAATTTTCAGAAAAATCAATATATGTCATACATAATTTTTAAAACCAAGACTTTATGTGACATATTCCTGTAAGCTTAAATGAAAAGCAACTATAGTCAGGTAGGAAAAACTTAAATAAAGCAAAAAGGTAACAGTCATGAAAAATAGATTTCTGTGTCCAAAATTCTTACCCAATGTCTGCCGGAAAGATAGCTTCCAGCCTCTTGCTGTTTGGAATGAATCTGTCTTGAACACCAGGAGCATAGTATTATTGCTGCTCTTAATATTTGGCGGCTGCTTGGAACCACAGAATTTGCCAAGAAGGGGATCACTGGTGTTGGAACCATCATAAATTGCCAAGTAGTCCTGGGAGCAGGAGGTGGAGGGAACCACATCAAAATCATTGAACCTGTGAAATATACCTTGTTAATACCAATGTTCTCCATTTGGATGTCCATTGTTTAAAAAAAAAAAAAAAAGACAAGGCAAAAACTAACGGCAGAGAATCCAACCTTCACTTGATAGGAAATGTTAGAAATAAGACAATACTTTGCTAATCAGTTCAAAAGTTTAGCTAAAATTTTTTGAGTAACTACAATATGTCAAAAACTGTGATAGCAGCCGGGGATGTAAGGATGAGTAAGATACAGTCCTACACTTCAAGCTTCAGGTTCCCACTAGATATGTCCATTTAGATACCTTACAGGTCCTCTAATCCAAAATATAACATTTTCCCCCTAGAGAGGGAACATATTAAAGTCCATTTGAAATCAAATTTTGACTAGTTGAACTAATATTATTCCTTTAATAAGTAAATCTTTAGTTTTTTAGTCTCATTAAAAATATGGTATTTATTCTTCCCTTGTTCTTTTATGAGATGAAGTGGTACTACTGTCCTGTTCTTTGCTGTGGGAAGCATGCTAATGTGAGAGAGAAGAAATACTGGCCTTAGAATCACAGCACCATTCTCGTTCTCACCGTCTCTTGTTTCTCTCTTTTAAAGTGGAGTTAATAGTAAGGTTAAGAGAGCAATACGTGAAAACCAAACTATGGTACCTGGCATATAACAGATGCTCCAAAAATGACGTTATGATGATGACGATGACTTTGAAACTCAAGAATATGAAATAAATTGTATCTCCATAAAAAGATATAAAAATATAAAACCAATGGTAGAAAAGAATGAACAAAATTCTGTTGAGCCTCACTTGATTGCTCTAACAAATTCACATTTAAGATCCTTATGCGGCTGGGTGCGGTGGCTCACGCCTGTAATCCAGTTGAAGGCAGGAGTTCTAGACCAGCCTGAGCAAGAGTGAGACGCTGTCTCTACTAAAAATTGAAAAAAATTAGCCGGGTGTGTTGGCAAGCACCTGTAGTCCCAGCTACTTGGGAGGCTGAGGCAGGAGGATCGCTTGAGCCCACGAGTTTGAGGTTGCTGTGAGCTAGGCTGAGGCCACGGCACTCTAGCTTGGACCACTGTGACATCTAGCACGGGACTTGCTTTGGCCACAGAAATTTACATGGCCATATCATATGATAAAGTATCATATATTACATTACGGAAGAAGTTTTACAAACTACAGCTCTCTTTGCCCCATTGCCTTCCCACTGCAGCAGTGATCATGGAAGCAAATATAGAAATGAAGCTTCCGTCAGCCAGGGCTGGTGGGTGAAATGATGAGCAGAGCTTCCTTGCCAGGCCGTGTGGAACATACTCACACAAATGACAAATAAACTTGCTGAGTTAAGCTGCTGTGCGTTAGGGTTGTTTGTTCCACTTATAACCTATCCTGACAGATACATCCCTAACTTTTCTTTGATGGCTTTATTTCGTGCTTTAATCTAAGCCTATGCTTTGTCATTTTAAGTAACTATTCCCCGAGTTCCTAAACAAGCAAGGTTTCCCACGTGGTGTTACTTTAGAATTTTATAGTGGGTTTATTACAGATTGTTTTTAAGCTTGTTTAAATTATTTGCTATCATGTCCTCATTTTTGTAGGACCTTCTGCTTTCTCAATATTTTTTTTGCCAGCAGTTTTAATAAATGACACATAATATGGAATAATTTTGAAAATATCTAATAATTAAATACTTCCTTGTAACAGCCTTAAGAAAAACAAATCTGTTAATTTCTTTTTCTAAACAGTTTTAGTTGGTTGATTATTTTCAAGCTGATGATGAAGAATATGATGAAAAAATTCTTAAGTTTCTTTTATCACATGTAACATTTAATGTTCTTATGAAAGAAAATCAGGGCGGAACAACAGCTAGGTAATATCCAACAGCACTACATTTGCTTTTATTCTGTATAGACAAAATATTTCTTTTCCACAATAAGAATCCACAGAGAAAGAGAACATCTGAATTTCCAAGAGGACTCAAACCTGTTTTGGCTTTTTATTTTGTATCTCTTTCTCAGGAGAGCACAGAAGATATCTGGAAAAAAGCCCATTGACAGAAAACCTTATGTGGCCAACATATTTTGAGAGCCTTAGTAGGAGGATTCATGTTTTACTAATGTCTGTATCATCTTTAGCACCTAGAAGAGTATCTGTTTTATAGAATGTAGACTCCTAGAAAGTACACAATAAATAATTTTCCAAACATGTGATATAAACTTTGACTATGGTAAGTTCCAGGATCCAGGCTGAAAACTGAAAAAAATATATATCTATGTATATTTTGTATTTTATATAGATAAAGTATCATATCTATATTAGTTGATAGGTACATCAACCATGGTCTGAATGCCTGTGCTCTCCTAAATTCGTACGTTGAAACCCTAACCTCCAAGGGGGTGGTATTAGGGATTGGGGCCTTTGGGAGGTGATTAGGCTACAGGGGAGGAGCCCTCATCATGAGTGGGATTAGTGCCCTTAAGAAAGAAGCCCCAGAGAGACCCATTACCTGTCCACCGCGTGAAGACACAGCAGGAAGGTGCCTTCTGTGAGCCAGAAAGCAGACCCTCAGCACACTCCGAATCTGCCTTGATCTTAGACTTCCCAGCCTCCAGAACTATGAGAATTTTTGCTGTGCTACCCAATTTATGATATTTTTTCTCAGCAGCCTAAATGGACTAAGGCAAAACTCCTACACATGTAAGAAACAAATACTGTGCCGCGGCAGCAAATGACAATAGTTACCCCTATGCTTCCAAGCCTGGACATCCTTCACAGGCCTCCTGCTCCGGGCCATCTGGCAGTTTTGTTCTTCTTTTGTCCCTAGGACTTAAAGGACACCTTGGCCTGGGAGCACAGTTTCCTTTCAAATAGTCCAGGTGGGATCTGCTCTTTTCTTCAAGGTCTAGTGTACAGACCACTTATAGACCACTGTGTGATACAGGAACCAAATCGAGCTCGATGGGACCTTGTAGTCCAAGGCCCCTGGAGTTAAACTGCAGGGAGTTCATTACCTTTAGGGCAGAAATTGATTGCAGACAAGTAGGGGGGCGGTAGGTATGCATGGTCCTCACCCGCAGGCTTCCATGTGGAGAATCCTATAATGCTATGAACTACACCATCTGGCTGAGTTTTGCACCACCTGCTGCGTGTCATGGAAACATCTGATCTCGGGTGAAAGTGGTCTTGAACCTCACCATTCTGGAGCAGGGGAGGCTACACTCCCTTCATCAGCCTTGGAAATAAGTAGGATCAAGGCGAGAATTTACTAACGATGTAAGATATCACTTATAGCAACAGGTTAGAGATGTTATGATACACGAATAAAAATAAATTTAAGTAGTTAAAAAATTTATTCTTTGAGAGACAGCATAGAGAACTACTAGGGACATGGTCTTTGGGGGAAACCTGACATGGATTCAAATTTTGACTCTTCGCTGAAATGTGGGTTACTTTGGCAAGGAAAGCTACTGGACCGTTCAGAGCCTCGGTTTTCTCACCAGTGAAAGGAGAATAATATGACTCACATGACTGTTTTAAGAATAAAATAAGACAATTATGGAAAATATTAATCAAATTTCCTTGTGTTTAATAAATGCCCAACACATGCTAACTACTTTCTCTTGCCCCTCCTGCCCCCTTTGATTTCAACGTGGGTTTATCACTTGACAAGCCATTACGTAAACTTTTTTTCAATTGTTGGAAAATGACAATGACTGTTTTAGCTGGTGGAGTGCCTGTTTCTCCCCCTTAGTCATTATTGGCTTGTGTGGAGGGCAGGTGGCCCATTTCCCAGGTTAAACTATCGTATAGGAACCTCACTCCTCCTTCCTCTAGATTTCCTTATAGACCAACTGCTGATGACAGCTGGTGCTCTCTGTCCATAAAGGATTATCTTTTCTGTAAATAAAAGAGTTTTCTTAAGAAAGCAGATTGTCACGTACTTGAGCTGAATCACTCTGTTGTCACTGACGATGATGGTGTACAAACAGTGCATGTCGTTGGGGTAGTCTGCAGAGGAATAGGCGGGACTTTTGAGGATTGCTTGGGAGAAATTGAACACACCACCACAGGCTGCAACAGAAGACAAGGGGATACACGGAGAGCAATTATCATTCACAGCATGGAAAACTGATTGTGAGATATTCTATGCTATTGAACGTTTTTCCCCTAAGAGAGATAATAATTATTTTTCTTAAAGTAACTTAAACCTTCCTTCACTGCGTTTACAAATAATTCTGATTTTTTCACTGGGAGAGATAACAAGAGACAGCCAGGGAGTTCGAACAGGGAAGAATGTTTTAAGCGCATTCTGGAAAGGAATAGATCTGAGTCAAAGCAATGGCCAGAGTGACAATGACGAGAGAGAACATTCCGTAGGTCGGGGTGTCTTCGTCCCTTTCCTCTGGTTACCTGACAGATGAGAGCGAGATGACAGCAGTAACTGGAAGTTCAGAAAAGGCAGCCAGAACCCAAGGCCCACTCTGAGCACACAGTGCTGGGAAAGGCTGTGATCTAGAAATCTGAAGTAACACAGGTTCAAGTGTCCTCTGTCAGGGACAGGATGTCACAAGGTGAAGTACTGGAAATCGTTCTTGGAACTTTCCAGTTTGGTTCTGTCTATGGGCTCAAATGCACAGCTCTTCAGTCCTATGGGTTTGGAGTCAGTTGTGAGACTGGTAGGTGACACCTGCCCAAATCTGTGTCACTGCTCCTGAGCAAGCGTGGGGAGGCTCGGCCTACTCCCCTCCCAGACGCCAGCAGTTAACAGCCCAGGGCCCTGAGTTATACACATTAGGCAAGAAAACTACAGCCATAAAAATATAATAAAGCCCCATCGTAAACAATGTGAAATTATTATTTTTGCTTGGGCTTACGTATAAGGCGGAACAGATTGGGCCACCTAACGATCACCCCCACTGCAGTGAGAAAGGCCTACATTTATTTATTTTATGATTCTAAAATCGTAATGGGGTTAGCATGTTTTGATGGTATTTCTATGGTTTATGCACTATCCATGGACATGTTCTACTTTACATCTCTCAGAAAGGAGAAGCAAACTGTGGCTGCCATGTGAGGTTCTTTATTCGTTTATTTATCGTTTTTGTCTCAGCCGAGCCCGCTTTGCAGGAAAAACTCTTCTCTGCACGTCTGTAAGTATTCATGGGCTTAGACCCCTGGGTATGTCTGCAGTGAATTAAATGTCACATCTGGGTAGCAATTACTCCCTTTCATTTTATACACAATTATGTGGTCTCCAACTTCACCAAGGCCTAAATAACTTCCATCTTTGTACACTGTCAGAATTTGAAGTCTCAGTATCAACAACCCTCATTCAGTGAGACTCTCACAGGTGATATGCTGAATCTTGCAAACTGTGTCTTAGGAAAGGGGGGGATTGAAGAGAAGAAGAACATAAAGCAGGGGTTTAACTCTCCAGAGCAGCAGTTGTACCAAAAGAATAAAAAAAAAAAAATCAATCCCTTTCTTTAATCAACAAGACAATGGAGGAGGAGACATTAATTGTTCAATTCTATCCTATTTGTGCCAACATAGCTATAAAGTCATACATAATCATATCCTACAAATGGTGGGAGTTAGAATTCAGATAGCGTCTGATGTGAACAAATTATGAAGGCCTTTTTCATAAGTAAATTAACATTTTTAGTCTCCTCTGTGGATGGGAACAGTAATTTATTGGAAGGGAAGCGATTTGACTTTCCACCTTTAGCAATAGGTTTGGTCAAACAAAGACAAAACAAAACCAAGAAAGATTTTACAAGATACGTCTGCCTGTTTGACTGAAGTTGGGATGCCATGGGAGAAATAGTGTCAGCAAACTAACAACGCACAGGGGAAAAGACTACTCAAGATAGGGAAATATGATCTTACAATTTTTTTTAGTAGCCACAAAGGCCTTTGTCCAATCTGTGCTTGTCTTTTCACTTTGCCTTTGATACAGAAAAGTTATAAATCATAGCACAGCTGAAATATCAATCTTTTCTTTTTCTTTAGGACTTTTCCTTTTTTGCATTTTTTAAAAAAATCCTTTTCTATCACATAATGAAGATATTCTCTTATGTTTATTCTCAATTTATAAAAATATTAATTTTCGTATTAGCAAAGTGACTTGGGAAAATAAAACAGCAATCTGGATAATTCTGGCCAAAAGTTACCTTTATGTAATGCATGAGTAACTAAAGATAGCAGGAATGTTAATTTTTAATTTAAATTACAAAATAAATCTCCACTCTACATTTGATTTTCAAAGAGCAGTTCTAGCCAAAGTTCATGAAAAAGGTCCCGTTTGTTTTGTAAGGAAAAACGTCCAAGTATTTTTGTACCATGTACCTAATTGGCAATTTTTTTCCCTTAAAGTCTCTGAATCTTCAAGTTGGTGATGTATGACAACTCTTTATGTAAATTACTCAAGAAAAAAAGAAAATTCCAAACCCCGTCATTATGGCTACTCACAGTTTATCATATAGGAAAACTTGAATCCAAAGTCTGTGATCTGCGCGTTAGAGTAGAAGTTAAGCAGCACTGGGCCAGCCATGGTGACAGGAGCCAGCATCTCATCACCACACACGGTGGCCAAAGGGGTGGCCGCCACGCTGCTACCCCTGATGATGTGCACACCGTCATTGACACAGCCTCCTGTCACAGCTGAGCGAGCTGTACAAAGCATAGAACCACCAGCGTTATGGTCAGAAACAAACACTGACGATTAATGCTTAAACATAAAAACAAAAACATTATGACGATTCATGCCATTGATATGAAAATCAAAATGAGAACCAAGAGATATTTAACTTGGTTTCCTGATGAAAAGATGTTTACCCTAATTACAAAACAAGGACAAGTATGAGAAAACAGGTAGAACATTGAAACAGGTACATTCCTCTTTGAAACAATTCAGTTTTCTTCCTTTGTAAAAGGATTCCTTCAATTCAGTGTTTGTAAACGGGAGACCATTTTGCTTCCCAGGGGACATTCAGCAATATCTGAAGACATTTTTTGCTGTCACAGTGGGAAGTGGGGTGCAGACCGGGGATGTTTCTAACTATGCTGCAATGCACAGGACAGTCCCCACACCCCGGCCCTCCCACCACAAAATACTACCCGGCTCAAAATGCCAATAGTGCTGCTATTGAGAAAACTTGCTTCAAGCTTATGTATAAATAAGGGACTCCTTTTGCAACAATTTGGATCGAACTAGAGACCATTATCCTAAGTAAAGTCTCTCAAGAATTGAAAAATAAACAGCACATGCACGCTTTAATAATTTGGAACTAATTCATGAGCACACATGGGCACAGAAAGGAGTAAAAATCATTGGAAATCAAGAAGTGGGGAGGAGTGAGGAGGGGAGGGGTACAAACCTACCTAATAGGTACAGGGAACACTATTTGGGTGATGGGCACACTTATATCCCAGACTAAAGCATTATGAAAGCTACCCATGTAACAAAAACATTTGTACCCGTTTGATATTTTGAAATAAAAAAAGAAAAGAAAAAAGAAAAAGGGACTCCTACCACGGAGAGATCATTAGAAATTCCTTAATGTCTATTCAACAACCATTTTAAATGTTCACTCAAGCAACATTAGCTTAAGAGTTTAATGCTTGTAAAAAGACATATCACTATATTATGTTCTAATTATAAAACAAATATATATTCCAGCCTCTCCAATCCCAAAGAAAAATATAAAACAAAATAAACAAGAAACTAAAAAGACTTTTACTACTACAAAGTATCCAGTCATTTTTATAGGTGAATATAAACTGTTCAACATTAATTGGGATCATGTTGAGCACAATCTTTTGCAACCTAATTTTTATTGATATAAAATAACACACATAATGCATTTTTACGTGATTTAATATTCTTCTAAAACGTTATATTAATGCATATATCAAATGCCAACATATAAATGTGCCATCCTATGTTCAATCAATCCCCTATTGCTTGATAATTCCATCTTCTCCACATTTTTGTGACTAAAAATATTGTTGAAACAAACATTCCTATGCATACATATTTGGGGAAGCTTCTCATTATTAGAATAAGTTTTTACAAGTTGAGTTACTGGCACTAAGGTAAGATTCTTTTTCAGGTTTATCAAATGGCCCCTTGGATACTCCCACGGCATTTTAGGTATTTGGCATTCTTCCCGATTCTAATTGTCATCACCCCACAGAGAAACTCTGTACCCATTGAAAATCACTCTCTATCTCATCCTCCTCATTTACGGCTCTCCCAGCCCCAGGAAACCATTAATCTATTTTCTGTCTCTACAGATTTGTCTCTTCTGGATATTTTATATAAGTAGAATGATACAGTATGTGACCCTTTGTTGGCTTCTTTTACATAACATAACGTTTTTGTGGTTTGTCCACATTGTAGCAAGTGTCAGTATTTCATTCCTCTTTATGGCTGAATAGCATTCCATGCTCTGGATATGCCACATTTGTTTATCTATTCGCTAGTTGGTGAACGTTTGGTTTGTTTCTACCTTTTGGCTATTATCAATAATGCTGCTATGAACATTCATGTACGAGTCTTTGTGTGGGCACATGTTTTCAACTACGAGTGGAATTTACTGGTTCAAAAATTAGGTATGTATCTAATTTTGTAAGAAACTGCTAATCAATTCTTTCAAAATGGTTTTATCAGTACACACTCTCACCTGCAATGTATGAGACTTCCAGCTGCTCTGCATGTTTGGCAATAGTTGATACTGTCAGTCTTTAATTTTAGCCATTCTGGTGTGTGTGATGTGATACCTCATTGTGATATTTAATTTGCCTTGCTCTGATGATTAATCATGTGG